TATTTTTCCTAAAACATAGAACAGTAAATAAAGAAGTAATACAAACAATTATCTCTTCTAGTTATTACCTTTGTACTCGGTTGCTGCTTAATGTAGGTTGCTAAGCCTTTAAAAAATTTGCACATGAAGGATATGAAACAAAATATTTTTTTAAGGTTTTATATATACATTTGAATAACTAAAAAATCATAAATTAATACATTAATACCATATAATTCCACTATAATTTATCAAGCTTAGTAACTAATATGTATTTTAGTCTAAAAAAATATGAAATTTCGAGTAGACTAAAGACACACCTTCCCTCATTGAAATATTGGTTCAAAAAAAAGAAATGGTGCCAAGCCCATTAAAATGGCCGAGAAAGCTACTAAGGGGACATTCTGAGCTTCAGATTGGTTTTTCATGTCATATATATAAGTAAGTGTATATAAGGGAGCATATCCAAAAATGGAAAGAGGTGGGTGGGGTGCCATTGTGTTTGATTTATTACATGAGCAATATCTCAGCAAATTGAAAAGATAAGAGGCTCTTATTTTATATTCTAGCTAGTCAATATCGGTGATTTGAGTTTCTAATTCATACGAAACTATAGACTTTGTATTTTGACTTCACAAACATCTAATTTGAACCAGTTATGCATTGAACATACCACATGACACACAAAAAATCTATGTTTATCTGCGTTTTTTTTAAATATTTGCTTTTAATTTAAGAAATTGAGTAACATGTATAGTACTAAAATTTGAATTATAATCTACAGTTTGATACCAAAGGTACTGACATAAATTCATGAAATAGTAGTTCAATTAAATTATGAATGCGAATCAACAAATGAGATGACACGGCCTTTCACCTGTGACCCGTCTTGAAAGGGTTAACACACTACATTGTTACATTATTAGCTTTTACTGTAAGTGCTGAAAAACTAATACCAATGCAAACTTTTTACTGATAATTTTATAGCTCAGTATAGTTTTGCAGACTGATGTTTTTGGTAGTATGTCAAAAGAGCAAGATATTGCCCAATGGTATGTACATAACCAAGTAAATTTTGCATTTTGGAAATATTAAAAGCTTATTAAGATTGTAATATTCTTTCATTTTTATTTTTTGTACTCAATCACGGTACAAACAAAAAATATTAAAGTACAACGAGTTTATAAAACAGTGCAAATTTGTTCTGCAAAGTTTGAAATCATGAGAGATGACACGTTTGTCATTTCAAATTAATAGTAAGAATTTCTTAATATCATGAGATGGTTCACAGTTCAGGATTACATTTAAAGCTAGTTTATACTGAAGTAGGCCATGTTTTTGATACCAAGGAATGTACAGATTTTATTCGTTTCATAATTAACACTTTCTTTTTTGAAAAACAGGACACAAATTTGACATTAATGAGCATTTTAGCATTTAACAAGTTAAGTTTCTTAACTTAAAATATTGAGAGACCTTTCTTTCTTTAGAAAGCTCTAGTTTGAATGAAATGCATCATCGGTAATAGATATGTTAAATATATAATGGTTAGAATACTATTATTATACACCCTTCGAATTCCCTAAGGGGCTAGATAAAAAATGTGTGTTTGAAAATATAATAGGCCTAATATTTATGTCTTAGGATGAGCATAATTCCAGTCATGCTTCTCCAACTTGTAAAAGGCATTCACACCACACGAATGTTTTTTTTTTAATGTTGCAGAAAGCTACTTAAGGGCTACCCGCACAAGCTATCTTTAATTTTGAAGCAATAGAGTAGAAGGAAGACAAGTAGACAACACCACCCACTGCTAACTGTTGGACTACTCTTTTACCAATGGATAATGGAATTGATCATCATCTTATAATGGCCAAAAGGGGGAGTATGTTTCGTGACAGGTTTTGATTGTGTGATCCACAGTTTGTGAGTTGAGTGTCCCAACAATGAATTTGACACACAACAGACAATGGAGATTTACTTAGCTTCTAAGGTATCAATAATGATACTTCCTAGCAAAAGTGGAACACGCTATAAGACTGGTGCAATAATCATAATCATGAACAAAGTAACTCGTAATATTACATTTTATATTTAATCCACATGTAATTTTAACATAAAACACGAAGTGTGTTCATTAAATAAGTATCAAAAAAGTATGGGAATAATTTTGAGATTTTGAAAATATTTTGGGTCGTGAAAGAGAAGAAAGAAAGGCAGAAAAACAGGAAAAAGAAACTGTATATTGTCTATTGTATTTTGTCACTGCCACCGTTGACCAGTCAAATATTGTGGAAAATTAGGGAAGAATTTTAAGACCCTTCACTGAGGGTATGTGATATTGGTTTTGAAGAATATTTACCCCTACATGGATTACACAAAATAAAAATGTGTATTGTTAATGTCACATATCTCACCCGTTCATCATCTTTTGCTGTACTGTCAGAAGTTAAAATCACACTGTGATAGATAATGTTGGAACTAATGGCGATGACCAAAACAGGAGGTACAGAAGGTAGACACAGTACAGAGCATGCATCAACTCCATAATTATCCTCTGCTGGAGGGTGCATAGTCAATGGTCCTTGTACTTTATTCGTTACTCTGCTAACAGAAAGAAACAATTAAAACAAATCAAGATATACTTATTGTTACACTCAAACACATAAATATACCACAAACACTTATATCGCAGATATTTTTTTTTCAAATTCAAGCCACACATTCATCTGTTAATAATTATGAATAAACGTATATTATTACTTACTTTTTTTATATCTAAGTAGTAGTATTTTTCAAATCTCATGGTTAAAATATATAACCATAAAAAACAAAAGGAAACTAGTATTGTATAAAGTTGTCCTGAAGTTGAAATTCATAACAATATCTAAATTCCCCTTTACAAATATTAACATTTTATGTATGCTGTACCTTAACACAACGTCATTCATCCTATAAACTTGAACATTCAACAAATCCAGGAAAAAAAAACAACTTCACCATAATTTTTTGGAAATAAGTTTATGCAGAACTTAATCACAAACTGCACACATTTTTTTAGTATGCGTATGTATGTATATATATACACACATACACATACATACAAGTACTAAAAAACTTTTGCAAAAATTAAGTATGATGTAGGGATGGCTATGCCAAAAAGTACAGTAACAAGGGAGGGATGAATACACAAAAAACCATACAAAAATCCCTAATAAGTAGCCAAATATTTCCAAGAATAACTTTTATCTACAACTAAATGTTGAATTCCTGTCAGTTGCATGAATTCAGGTTTGAATAAAAGCATTTAAACTGAATAGTGCTATATGGTCTTACAGTGGCTAATAACCATAAACTTGTAAAACTGACTCAGTACTAACTTACTGTTTACTTATGTAGATATTTTTGTATGGTTTTGTGTATTCATCCCTACATTGTTTCTATACTTTTTGGCACTGCCACCTCTACATCATACTTAATTTTTGCAAACTTTTTTTATTACTTGTTTCCCTTCTTTTTTTTTTAAACAATTTCATTGAAATAGGTTGATAAGTGAACATTTATTTTATGTTTATAATTGAGTGACAATATATATATCTTAATATCATATTAGTTTTGGATTACATTTGGGGGCCGGTGAAATAGGAATGGTTCCTCCAGGATGATGCAAGTACCTAGAAGTGCTGGACAAATGTTAAGGGGATGCTTACAGAACCCATGCCTTCCAACTTCACCCCAACTCACTGCATGTGCATACAAATGACTCCACCACATGTTAGGGTCATGTCGATTAATAGGAAGGACAGCTATACAGATCCCAGGCCATGAAGTATGATACCACGCATATACACACAGCTGCCAGGATCGGCCCCACTGAAAATTTGAAGTAGCCCACTATCTAATGTATTGTTTTGATAAATAAGAAACTGGTGTTTCTAAACTCAGACATCAATAACATGTCCACAGATCTGTCAGTTGCATAAATATTTGATTTCCTTGATACCTTGAATATCAATTTAGATTATTCTTTCTTTCTTTATTTTTTACTGGAATTGTTTTTGGCAGATATCATGTTTATGCAAGGAAAAGTCACAAATGGTCATTATATAAGAACAATTTGTGCTGCCAACTAGTAACCAGAAATGAAACTGTTATTTGTAAAACATAGAAATAATACTTGCTTATAAACTGAACTCGCTGCTAAGTAGTAGTAGTAGTACTATTTCCCCACAAAAATATGTGTGGTAGAAGAACAGAATAATGTTACTGTTATGCAAGCTGTGAAACACTCAATAATGGCAATTAGGTGCTCGAATAAAGCTATTAATCAACTTTAGCAGTTATTTGTAAGCATCACAGAATAATAGATTGAATGTTCGTTCCAGCCAATTTTTTTTCCACTCATACCTACATATTAAGCACTACTGCACTTAATAACTACACAACAAATTATGAGAAATATAGGATTTTACATTCTTATAGAGAAATAAAAGAAATGTGTTTGACTGAATAACAATATGATTTCAATAGTCTGAACAGCAGCTAAAGGGTTTATAACAAAACTACTAAATGAAAAAATTATCATTTGTGACAAATGAAAAAAAAAAGAGAATACCGTGAGTTACCTTGAGTTTTTTAAAGTCGTGCTGACTACATAGATATCTCCATTTCCTTTGAGTACAAATGCAGGCCATATTTTTTTCTCTTGTGAAACATTCTCTGACGATTCATTATTTGTTAAGGCTGGTCCAAAGTCAAAGCTCACTGCAGTCTCCCCAAGGGATGTTGAAAAAGATGCTTGAGAGGATGACATGAGATAAAAGCTTGATTTGTATGGGCCTAAACTGTATGCTTGGATTGGAGTTTGTGGATCAGTGGCTTCGTATATTCTAAAAATGAAATTACTGTGTAGGCAGGCTGAAGTGATTTTTTTAAATAAAAAAAGCACAACAATTCAAGATTATTTGTGCTGTGCTTAAATCTATAATCTGATATCTTTTAAAATTTTACATACTATTTTTAATACAATTAACAAAAATTTAATTATCTTCAATTAAATGCTTTATAAGTTTTCTACAATTATATGTCCAAGGAAATACAAAATCACTAGGAAATGGATTATGCAAATCAGGTCATTTTGGAATATTCCAAATTATTTAACATTTTGTACATCAATTAAAAACAAAAAATTTTGAGCAAGGGACCCTTCTTCCTTTTCTATTGGACAAGCAGTTGCCTATCAAGATGGGTGAAAAGTTCAACAGACAGCAAGACAGGCTAAAAAATAAGAAATTACTTTCAGTACAACCATAGCATGGTTGCCCACCACACAGAAAATGCAAAACATCTTTGTCCGTTACTTAAAGTGTTATTAACTATTTATCAGAAATGCACCCCAAAACCTGTGACACATTTCATACTTTTAGAGTTTCACAGCTTTAAAAATCTGTACAGGCAGTTTATAAATCCTGGATAATTCCTTATCATGTCTAGTTATTGAGGATTTAGTTCATTGGGAGTTTTGTAATTATTATTCATTCAAAGCTGATAACAAAAATGATTCAAAATATTTTAAAATGGTAAACAAAAACACAAACCACAACAGTACCTTAAATAGTTATCTGTACTCAGTACAGTAAGGTGTGTACCACTCTCACTTCCTGGATGCCAGGCTACATGAGCAACTTCTGTTCTTTTATTACACACAAAGAAATGTTCTGCAATATGCCAACATCTATATGCACAAAAGGGAAGAACAAATTTAACATGAAACAATGGTTACAACTTGTCCTTACTATTACTACTATATATATATATATACATATTATTATCACTGTTTACACTTTACTGAATTTATTAGATTTATGATTACCAACTAAAGGTTGTATAGAAATATTACAGGGAATTATTCTGATAAAATAACTTGCATAAGACAGAAAATTGACTAAACATCCATCACACATATTAATATTACTAAGCTATGAAATTTAGTTCTCAAGAAATTACTTCAAAGTTATTTATAAACCGCATGATAATTTCCAACACTGACTTGTATGAATTTTTTTGAAGCAATGCTCACAGTACCATGTGTGAAGAAAGTCAATCACATTATCTTTCCACACATGTAAAGGGTATGTGGTGCCATCTATTGGTAAACCTTTAAGTCATCAAGTGGGAAAGTATTGAGAGCACCCACACAAACAAAAGAAATCATAATTATTCAAAACAGAATACATTATTTTGATACAGAAGACCTAACAACATACACATTTGAAAAAAAAAAGAATATAAACCTTTCTAACCCAATAACTTGTATAAATTCAAAATATATAATTAAAAACAGAGTTAGTAATTGTAGCTGTAGTTAGAATGGTAAAAGTGCCTCTTGGAATAAGATCAAACCATCAACTGATAAAACTCAATACAAATTTCCTTTAACTATACACAGTAAAAAAGTTTTTAGATAAAAACAGCCTGAAATACATCTTATACTTTGTATTTTTTATAGATAATGACACATTTATTTTGGATCAAAATTAAAGGTTTCTTATCTTCATTTTGTACTGCACTAACCTGCAAGTCACTTTAGGTTTACCACCTTCAAAGACTCCACCTTTACCCCACCTTCGAGGCAGTTCAGCAACTGCCACTCCTCGTCTACCCCATAAAGCCAAAAGCTGTCCAGTGACATTAAGTGTCAAAATATCCACATCAAACCAAGGAGGATTAGTCAATATAAGTGTCTGCAATAATAATATCAAGTTATCAGTTGCCAGGAAGCAAATACACCAATTTAACTCAAGTTATCAGTTGCCAGGAAGCAAATACACCAGTTTAACTCAAGTTATCAGTTGCCAGGAAGCAAATACACCAGTTTAACTCAAGTTATCAGTTGCCAGGAAGCAAATATGCCAGTTTAACACTTTATCAGTTGCCAGGAAGCAAACACACCAATTAACACTTTATCAGTTACCAGGAAGCAAACAAACCAGTTTAACTCATGTTATCAGTTGCCAAGAAGCAAACACATCAGGTTAACTCATGTTATCAGTTGCCAGGATGCAAACATATCAGCTTAACTCATGTTATCAGTTGCCAGAATGAAAACACATCAATTTAACACCAGTTGATACCAATTGTGTTATGTTCATCTCAATATACATTTTTTTAACGAGTTTTTATATTAAAAATTAGAAACTACTCATTTAAATAGGTTTTTCTTGACAATTAAAGCTCTAAAAATCAAAAAAGATTTTCTCTGATAAGACCAATAAATTAAAAAAAAATACTAATAATTATCTTAATTTCATAAATCTGTCAGAAAGCTAAAGTAAGTTTGAAGTAATGATATGAAACTATGAAACTTTTGGTGAAATATTTAAAGAAATCCATATTATGGAAATAAACATTCCTTGATTTTGGGCTTTACATGGTTTGAATCAACTAGTTTTTACTTAGAGCTTTATTTAGAGAAAAACTCTAAAATGAAAAATTAATCTATTTTTACAAAAACACTACATAAAATTCTTGAGAATGTTTTTTTCACAGCTATTGTTAAATTTTATAAATCTACTAAACTTGTAGCATGTATAGGTCTAAATATATAACAGATTACTTGCTTACAGAAAATATTTTTTTATAACGCTGAACACAAAATTAATTTTATATCTGCAAGGGTTTTTCTTACTTTTTTGTCACGTATGTTCCAAATTTTGTTTGTTCATCAAGTAGGATAAAACTTAAACAAACACTTTAACATTTTTTTTTCGTTTGGTCCACTTGTGAGCAAACTTAAAAAAGTTGTATATGATTTTTTTGTTATAATGGTGGAAAAGGGAGTTTGGAGTATTTATAATAATGTCAAATTTAGGGCATGAATTTCTTCAGGAAGAAAAATTATCAATAAGTGGATAAAATACATTAACTTTTACTAAAATACTAACCATAATGCTTCAATGAATTAGCTGGTACAAACCCAAAACTTGGTGCAAGTTATGTCTGTTTTGATTTTGTGTTTTTGATGTTAGGATTTTCGTGCCACACTTGTATAGAAGTGTTCAAAATTGTTAAAGGTTTGAACAGGTATCTTATAAATAGCTTAAGATGTGATATGAATAGGTTTGATATACAAATGTTAATACCTGTCATAATGAGATTACAACTTCAGAAGCTTAGGCACACACACCTCTTCTATAACAATATTATGTACTTTAATTTTCAGTAATTAGTAAATAGTCAACATTCCACACACACACACACACACACATACTGGCACTATCCAATCTCTTATCAAATTCAAAAAGTAAACAGTTAATACTGCTTGTCTGGATACACAACGTAATATCTACTTTACCACAATATCGTACAACTGATTTACACTGAATTATTATGTTTTGGGTCAATTTTAACTTGCTAATAAACTAAGCAGATTTAATTCCTGTTTTTGATTATTATTTAATTAATGCTAGTAAGTGAGTGAAAAATTAGTTCCTTTTTATCATACCCAGTACACAATGAAATGTATTAAACTGTTTATATTTTTTGATGCAAAGCTCAAAATCAATGTGATGATTTCAATATTTAACAATCAAACAATGTAGACAGTATTTTATCCAGCCTTAGAGATGATTTTTATGAACACTAATATAGTGCTGCCATCTTGTGTTATTTACATGCAATGCCATCCTTAAAGATGCTTATTCAACACCAAGTATACTATGGTATAGACTTATGAACATCAAAGAATAAGCCTAGTAAGATAAACCTAACCAGTCAAGGTAACATTATGAAATTGATCATTCTTTATTATAAATAACTCATAACAATAGGACAAAATATTATACACAGTGGAAATAAAACTCTTAATTCAAGCTTATCCTCCATCCTAAACATTCAAAAGGTATTTCAAGTCTATTATATCAGTTTTTGATACGCGATTCTATTTCTTAGTGTATTCAGTTTTATCTCCTTTTTAATATAAGAATAATACTGTCATGCTGGAAAGAATGAAGAGGTGGGATTGTACAGAAAATGACACAAACACCTAGGACAGGTGTGCAAGGCCAAAAAGAAACAAACAGTTTTTAGTTGAGGCATTATAGAAAGTCTATTGAGATACTTCCTTGCAATTTCACGTCAGATGCTGGAGATGGAGAGGTTAAAATGTTCCTGATAGTTCAATCGTTACAGTAGGCTTAACTTCAAAAGAGTTGGAGTTGGGTGTTTTCCTGAAATAAATAACTACTTGATTTAGATATTTAAAACTGTTCAGACTAAGTTATATGATATTCCCATGCAGTAGAACAAATACCACAATTGGAGTATTGTGTTTAGTCTTGGGCTCTCAACCTTAAGAATATTGAATTTTTGGAAAGGGTTCAAAATAGGGCTACTAGGAATACACCTGAGACGAAAAAGTTATAATATCTTAACAGGTTAAGATCACTGAAATTGGTTTCTCTTGGCAAAAGAAAAGTTAGAGGGGATATGACTGTCACTTTTAAGATTGCTAAAGAAATTGATAATGTCAATGCATCATTATAATTTTTCATACTTAATGGTGAGAATAGTAGGATAAACAGACACAAGTAATGAAGTACACATTTTGGCAAGGCAGGAGTCATCTTCAGCGAATAGTTTTATTTTTCTTAAAGGGTGGTTAACCTTTGGAATGGTTGCCTTAAAGGTTAAATGGATACAATAAATAATGGATTTTACAAAAAGGCTTGGTAAATATTTAAATAATGATTTAAAAATTCAGTTTAAAAGATGGGAAAACCTCAAAAGACCAACAGTCCTCTTGCTGTCTTTAAGTGTTAGTTTATGTTATAACTGTAAGCTTTACAAATCCAAATACAGACGTGTTTGTTCTTATGCATAACTTATAAGTTATATTATAATGTTTCACTTTCACTTTCAACGCTGAAACTGAAAGACTAAAGTTAAAATTTATGTATTTACGTGGTAAGACTAAATTAATACTCATCTCAAAATTTAAGATACATTAAACACTTTCGTAAAATAAAGCGTAGGATACTAACTAGTGCTCTATTATTTTCTATGGTGTTATTATTATGAACTTAGAAGTTAAAGAGTATCTAACAATAACACAGTTTTCAACTGTCTAGCAAATTTACGTGCTAAGCCTAACCTGTGCTTTGCAATGATTGATATCATCGTTGGCTTTACCAGTAAATCGGGTATTAATACTGATAATACACTGTTCAGATACATCCAAAATTAATAACAAAGTATCATCTACGGCAATATAACTTTTCGAGTCTAATCCTATGGTGGTAAACTCTACATTATTTTTCAACTTCTCAGCAATGTCACTCGTAATACACGAACTACTGCTCCACGATGTGGCAGCCATATTGGTCGCCCGCGCGGCTCATTCAAAGCCAACGAACGTTATTGGCGGCCAACCAGATACAGAGCGCTTAGTATGAAAATTAGGGAAGGCGCTCGTAGTAATCAAACAAAAACAGGGCGCAATCGCCTCAGAATAGAGTGACGTCAGAAATTTTAGTGCAGCTGGTTGAAAATACTGGTTGGAGATTATATTAGAAGATTCTCTGTCACGTAGACAATTAGTTGTCATTCGTCGTGGGTAAAGATGGCTGCGAATATACAGCCTCTGGTACAGTTTTGGAAAAAAATTGACCTTTTAGGATTTCAGGTGAGTTTTTTATTCTCTGAAGCAATTTATTTTATTAGGAGTTAAAACAAAAAGCTAGAAGTACTTATAAAATTTCTATGATCTTTTTAAAAAAAGAAAATGTACGAAAACTGCTATAGTCTATCAAAATATAATATATAAATTGTAAACGTTTTAATTGTAACTGTTTTTCATATTGAAATATGCTGTTAAATACTTAAATACAGTGTTCTATTTGTCTAAAAATGTTAAAATTTTAAGGATAGCAAAATAAAAGAAACTTTTTTCATGAGCGGTTGTATAATTTTGCGGTCTTGTAATACCCGCATACATTCGGAAACAACGTGCTCGAGCTGGTTGCGGTAAGCGTTGTGGAACTTGACGGCATCAAACAAACGATGAAGCCGGGATCAGATCTCCTAGCTGTCGGTTATTGTTTGAACTACGTTGAAGGGCTATTAGAGTGTATATAGTATAACGGTAAAAGCGTTCGTCATCTAAAACGAAAGAGAGAGAATAAATACTATGGAGAATAACTGATCATAGGAAAAATTGCTGTTTAAATCCCAGTATCGTAATTGACAAGCATTACCCCTGGATGGCTAAATTATGATTTTAAAAGAAGTGGAACTCCTTTTGTGATTCACTTTGACATTCCAATCAGAAGACTAGGAACGCTAATGGCTTGAATCCTCAAGATGCGGAACGCTGTTCCGTCCCAATTTAACACCTCAAGTGGACAATGATTAGATTTTGCTGAATGTTTTATTAAACAGATGTACAAATAAATGTGACTCCAGTAAATGAAATCTAGTATACTAGTAAAGTTTGTTGCCTAAGTTATTAGATATATACATTAATCTAAACAACCACGGAAATCAAGTTAAACCATTGGAACATGAGAAATTTTTGAAAACCGATCCAGCCAAGATTTAGAGAAACCGTAGAAACCTCAAAAAATATTGTTTGCAATTAAGCACGAAGCTACACACCGGGCTATCTGTGCTCTGCCTACCACGGGTATCGAAACCCGGATTCTAGCGTTGTAAGTCCGCACCAAAAATATTAATAGGAGTGAGGGAAAAGTGTTTGTTGCAGTAAAATCTTAGAAGCTTGCCGAATAATTTTAATTTTTTTTTGTTCTATTTACTTTAGACAAAATAGTATGAGTATGAAATGTTTGAAACATTGGAGAAGAAAGAAAAACAATAACAAAGTAATAAAAGGAAACACAAAAATAAACGGAAACTTTTGTCATTGTAAGCTTCGAACTAATTTTTTTGTTGCGAATACATATTTTAATATACTCAGTCTAATAGCGGTGGCGTAACTACAAAAGATGCCCCCTCCCCATAAACAATAATTAGGCCTCTACATTTATTACCTTATAATTGCAGTTACGATTCGGGCCCCCCCTTTTGGCTCCCGCCCCTGAAATGTCGGGAGTTTTGTTACGCCACTGTCTAAGAGCATTAATTTTTCATGAATCATTTATCAACGTATTTTTATTTCTTCATATTATGTCATAAATTCGTTTGTTATACGTGTTTGGTTAGATATTTGTTTGTCAAAATGTGATATCAATATTAAAACGGCCTACATGATGAGTTCTTGTATATTTTAACATGTGCCTCGCTCACGCCCAACACGATAAAGAACACCAGTGATCTTCAGCTTCTACTTCAAAGAGTGCCATGCTCGTGTTATAAGCGACTATCAGAAGAGAAGTATTTTTTTTTTTTTATATAGATATTCAAACAAAGGTTTTTCGTCAAATAGTAGCATCTAGAATTAGAGTTACTTATTGTTGTTCTTGTTTTAAAATTTATTTTTCGGGCATATTAATCGAAAATAAAATTAGATTGCTACATTGAAATAATCATGTTATTTTTAATACTTCCAATCGGAGCTACTTTTCCAAAACTGACAATGTGCATGTAAAGTTTGTCAAATCAATATAATAGGAAATAGGTACCAGAATCTCATGTGAACAATCGTATTATTGGTTAGTTATGTATCTGATTGTGCCTCCCAGTGGCTCAGCGGTAAGTCTGCAGGCTTACGACGCTAAAAATCCGGTTTCGATACCCGTAGTTGGCAGAGCACAGATAGCCCATTGTGTAGCTTTATGCTTAACAACAACCAAATCGAATCTGATGATCCAATACATATACACATGTAATACTTACATGTGATACCACAAAATAGTATTTTTGTGTAGTCTGGACAAGGGAGAAGGGGCACCTACTACCACGAAAACAATTCTAGATCCAGTGTGTTAACATACTGTGAATGATACAGAATTCAACGATAATTACTTACAGACATAAATAACCAGCAAAACGCATGAAAGTGCGGACTTAACAATGTTACTGAAAACATAATATTGTAAGCGTGTGTTGAAGTTTTTAATAATTTATTTAGTATTTTAATGTTATTCATAAAAGCTGAATTTGAGATGTGGAAAGGTCAAATGTGTCACAGTATATAGTATTCAGTGGCCATTCTCATAATTCTTGTAGTTTATACCGGTGATTCCCCTTTAGTGTTTTATGGTCGTTCGTTAGATATGGCCAGGTGGTTAGGGCGCTCGATTCCCAATCTGATGGTCGCGGGTTCGAATCCCCGTCACACCAAACATGCTCGCCCTTTCAGCCGTGGGGGCGTAAAAATGTGACGGTCAATCCCACTATTCGTTGGTAAAAGAGTAGCCCAAGAGTTGGCGGTGGGTGGTGATGACTAGCTGCCTTCTCTCTAGTCTTACACTGCTAAATTAGGGACGGCTAGCGCAGATAGCCCTCGTGTAGCTTTGCGCGAAATTAAAAACAAACAAACAAAATCGTTAGATATGCCCAGAACAGTGAAAATTGCATTTTATTAGAGGGCGGAATGTCTCGTGCAATTTTAAGTCGTTTTATGCGCTTAGAAATGTATACTTCATGTATAATCTTAAACCGTTGCTATACTGTTTTAATGTCACAAGCTTCACACCTCACGTGTAAATAAAAGGTTAAATCAGTACGCCTTAGTATAAAGCTGACCGCATGTACTGTTATGTTGCACAGCCAACTCGTTGTAAACTTTAAAAGTAAATTCTTTGTTGAACAAAAATATTAAAACTATTCTTTGTTGAAACTATATAGTTGAAGCGACATCGACACGAACTTGCTGAAACCCGTTGTTCAGTTGGTTGTTAAGCACGAAGCTATATATATGCTTTGCCAACCACGGGTATCGAAGCCCGATTTTTAGCGTCGGTAAGCCTATGGACTTACTGCTGAGCCACCGGAGGGCCCGCTGTTCAGAATATCTGAGCAAATATACCTCAACTGACTTAACGCTATACCGACACTGCCTGCTTTGTAAGCAATAAAATGTTTAATTAGAAACGGCATCTGGGTTTTACCGATTCATTCTAATCTAATCTTTAATTGATTACATTAATAAGTGTTTTTCTCTTCAGTGTTTTGAAAAAAAAAGTGAATAAAAAGACACGTTTGACGAATTGCGTATGAAAAGAAACCAATATAATATATTTTGCATTTACGACGTTTCGCTCATGAAGGTTTTGTGCACACAGTTACTTGTACGCGAAATGTCCGAAAGTAAAAATACTCTCCCAGGGTGAAGTTATATAGTTTTAGTTTTCGAGTGTCAATTATTCTGACGTCGTTGTTGTAGTGGAGTCAAAAGGATATTTTTCTCCTTTAAAAATATTAAATACTTAGATTAGTATTAACGAAATATATTTAAAGTCCCTATTATATAAGTCTCCAAGGGGCTGTAGGTACGTGTATCACTGTTATCTTTGTATAAATTTAGTGAAATTATGTTTGTTTATTTATTTTTACAAAACGGCTAAGCAGCTTTGTAGAAGTTCAAGTCATTGATTTTCTGTCGCGTCCATAAAATAGGCCTATCTAACTATGAATGGTGTTTTTCTAGCGCAACAAATACTTTCTTTTGTGTACATATTCTATGCAATTTTCTTGCACCAAAAAAAGCTGCGATTTTTCACAGAGTGACAATTAAGTTTTGGAGATCTGATCCTCTCGGTGTTTGAAATTTGAATTTATCATTTAAAAACACAACACCCCATTCATTTAATACTAGATCAGATGCTGTTGATCTTTAGATATACCCATTCTTTCAATACTAGGTCAGAAGCTGTTGACCCTTTGATAACTCCAAAGTCTGAATGACATTTAAGGCAGTCATCAAGTATTAATGTACAGTATGTAGTGCTGATACTGGGGAGAATTCAGCAACGAAAAATAAATAGCAATGAGAACTGACTAAATATTTGAACTGAAACTTTACATATTATAACACTATATGATAACATCGATAAAATTAAAACGAAGCATAAGTAAGTAATTGCCAAAAGTGTTCATTAAATAAGAACTTCCCAAAGTTAAGTTTTTATGACGAAAACACTATTTTTCTTTTGTTTCTTTGTTTTTTATCAAACGGTCAACAGCGTCTGATTTAATATTAAATGAATGGGGTTATCAAACGGTCAACAGCATCTGATTTAGTATTAAATGAATGGGGTTATCAAATGATCAACAGCGTCTGATTTAGTATTAAATGAATGGGGTTATCAAACGGTCAACAGCGTCTTATCTAGTATTAAAAGAATGTGGATATCTAACGGTCAACAGCGTCTGATCTAGTACTGAACGACTGGGGTTATCAAACGGTTAACATCATCTGATCTAGTATTGAACGAAAGGCATCAACCTTAACTTGATATGCCACTACTTGTGTTTTATTTCAATAAGAG